CTGATATGAAGCACTGTATTGATCTGTTGCTCAAGAAAGTCCACTGATATTTCCTTGGACTTTTCCTGGAGGTATGGCCATAAGAGCTCAGCAATGTTGGGATCTGTTGCTTCTATCTCCATCTCTTCCCCGATGAGTTCAATAGGGGACAGATCCAGAGAGAGCGGTCAACTCTCAATCTGTGCTGTTCCCTCTCTCTCTCTCTCTCTCTCATACACCATTACCTTTTTCTGTTTGAAAAACTGCTTAGGAATCAAAGTCAATGTCATATTGCAGGACCAAAATAGTATCCACAGGTGGAAGGGCATCTCTGGAAATCTTTGTGATAGTCCATCTAGCCCAGAGCACCTATAATATTGTATAAACCTCTGACTGCACAGTCATTGTGCTGATATTGCTTCTACTACAATGTAAACCGCAAATGTGAACTCCCATGTCATCAACAGGAGGTTCCCCTTCACCACCCATCCTTCTCTCCCCATTTTCAGCTCTATGGAGACTTAGTTTAATTCTGAGATCCTACGTGGGGTAGCATGAGTTCTAACCAGACTTTTGTAACCTTCGCTTTCTCATTCCAAGAGATTCAGGTACTTACAAACCTCCATGATTAGCTGGATACGCACTCTACATACAGGGATGTTAGGAAGGGGAATAGTATCCGGGGTAGCCGTGTTAGTCTGTATCTACAAAAACAACAAGGAGTCTGGTGGCACCTTAAAGATTAACAGATTTATTTGGGCATAAGCTTTCGTGGGTAAAAACCTCACTTCTTCAGATGCATAGAGTGAAAGTTACAGATGCAGGCATTATATACTGACACATGGAGAGCAGGGAGTTACAAAGACTTCAAAGAGAAACAGAAGAACTAAAATTCATTTGCAAATTTAACACCATTAATCTGGGCTTGAATAGGGACTGGGAGTGACTGGCTCATTACAGAAGCAGCTTTTCCTCTCCTGGAATTGACACCTCCTCATCTATTATTGGGAGTAGACTACATCCACCCTGATTGAATTGGCCCTGTCAACACTGGTTCTCCACTTGCGAAGTAACTCCCTCCATGTGTCAGTATATAATGCCTGCATCTGTAACTTTCACTCTATGCATCTGAAGAAGTGAGGTTTTTACCCACGAAAGC